AGTGACACTTAAGTTTCCTCTATGGTACGGACTGACGGACGCCTAGTCTGTTCTATATGTCTCAGTTTTGTCATGATTGAGGCTGCTGCTTCGCTGACAGCTTTCCAGTTCTCAGTGGACTGACACATGAGTGTCGTAAAAATTTCCACCGTAAAACTACCACCGAGTGTCGTTTTTAGTTTTTCCCTTGTAATTACAAAGCGAGGGCAGTAAAATAATACATGTTCAGAGTCTTCTATACACTCTGTACACGTCGGTCAGTTCGGACTGGTGTCGCGATGGAATTTTTGGATTCGTTACCCTGCGAGTAAAAAACGCCGTCTGGAACGCACACAGCACTTATTTGCCATCGCTCTTGATAAGGCGTTGAGGATTTTATATGCTTTACTCGAGGTGTATTCTAGGTGCTACTTAAATTTACGCTTTGAGTCTATTATTACTCCCAGGTACTTTAGTTGTGACTGTAATTGAATCTCACACTCCCCTATGGCGACAGATATTCTTTTCTCCACTTTCCTAGTATTTATTAGGAGGATTTCTGTCTTGTGCTCAGACAGTACTAGGCACCTTGAGGAGAACCATTGCCGCAGACTGTTTACGCATTCATTGCATATATTCCATAGCTCATATAGGTTTTAAGCCACTGCTACCACTATAAGGTCCTCCGCGTATGCGATTAATTTCACGGCTTCTGGTTGATTTATCCTTAGCACTCCATCATACATCACGTTTCATAGAATGTGGCCTAAAACCGAGCCTTGCGGTACCCCACTCGAAATAGAGTAGCTCTCGGTGCCTTCATCAGTGTCGAATTTTAATCGTCTGTTTTCGAAATAACTTATACTTGTAATAATGTTTACAAGATATTGGGGAGCGTGCGTTTCATACAGAGCCTTGATTATGTTTAACCATTCTGCCGAGTTAAAGGCATTCTTCACATCCAGGGTGATCAGCGCGCAATATTTTTTAGTCCTGCCTTTCCATCTTTTTCCATTTACTGCGTATTTCGCAGTGTCAACGACATTGTTTAGTGCGTCATTAGGGGGCCTCTTTTTCATTAAGTCGTATTGTTTTTCTGATCCGCCGGCTTTTTGGATTGCTAACTCCAAGCGGTTTCTTACTATGCTTTCGTACACTTTGCCAATCGTCTCAAGCATGCACAGAGGTCGATATGATGAGGCTTCCTCCAGAGGCTGATTTGGTTTAGGAAGTAGAACCAATTGCTGAACTTTCTATGTGTCGGGGAATATACCTTCCTTTAAGCACGCATTGTACATTTTTGCGAACACATTCGCTTTGCTGCTTTTAGTTTTTCACGCTATGGCCAATATTTCTTCTTCACTAACCAGGCTCTACAACTGCTGTTCGTGGTTTATTATAGGAAATCAGTTGGGGTTTTGGGAATAATCTTTTTACGATATTCTTCATAAACGATGCGCTTTTTGGTTGTTTTAAACTTTGACATGCATATTTTGTACGCAGTACCCCAAGGGTCTACGTTTGCTTCTTCAAAGAGCTTTTCAAAACAGTTTCTTTTGCTACAGGCAATGGCTGACTTTAGAAGCTTCTTTAGTGTTTTTAACATTTCTCTGATTACACTGTAGACGGCGTCTAGCTGCATTACAGACGGCGTCTAGCTGCATTACAGAGCTCTCTCAGCATAGCTATCTCTTTATTCCACCAATAGGCTGGCTTTCGTCTTTGTTTTGTACTATTCTACGCATAGTTGCATCGCATGCTGTGACCAGTTCTTTCCGCACCAAGGTGTCTTCGCCTGGTGTATTTGCTGAGCCCCAAACTATCTCAAAAAGGTCGGCATCAATTCCTTTTCAAAATCTATTATTGAGGCGCTGGGGGAGCATAGCAACTAACAAGTGTATGCCACGTATGTTTGCCCATGTGACACAGTTTATGGACTTTGGAGCAGGATATAAAAGGTTGGCCTTTACATGACCATATTGCAGCCTTGCCAGATATGTCTGTGGTCCAGGTGCTTTCCGAACGCTGGGAGTATTGCTCGCTTAGTAAGACGACATCAATGTTTTCTTCAAATATTGTCTGTTTGAGCACATCTGGTGCTGCAGAACAGTGGTTTACCAAATACTTAGGGCAAGTCGTACTCAATACTGAGTGTGCTCCTTTACAAAACATGCAGCTCGGGTCATTGGTGCATTACTTCGCTTCAGCTCTCTTTTCCGCTTAATTTTTTATTTCCAAAAGCAGGACTTAAACTTTGTGATGATTTTTGTTTATGTTGGTGTACCTTCATTAACAATATATAATAATTATCTTTCAATCACGTCCAGTTTGTTTTCTTTTGACAGCTTCATATAACTTTCTGGCATATACTTGTTATTTTTAAAATAACTTCATTTGGACGACTGTATAACTATTTCATTCGACAAACTTATATCATATATACGTTTGTTACATCGACCCCAACAGTTTTTGTTATGTGTGTATTAATAATGTAATAATTGAATTAAATTAACTTTAATGTCATATAAAGCTTTGTGGTGTAATATGTGCTTAAAAATACATATGCTGAACTCTAATCTGGATTTTTTTCCGGTAAGGCGAGAGGTTCCATCAGGACATTTCTCTAATGGAGAAGCGCCATTAAGGGAAATGGAGCGCAGGAAGAGATTAGCAGATTATTGTTGGAGAGTTAAAACAGACCTCCCTGTATTATTTACGTATATGAGAAATCAAAAATCACACAAATAACACAGGAATAATTTCATTCGAATGCATTTGATCAATTTACGACCACCCTTTAATATTAATATTAAGAGCTCAAACTTTACCAAATTTCGGAAGATATCACTCTTTTTGGTACCCGTTCTTCCTTTTCTTATAAACTTATGAAAAAGGATGATTTTTTATTTTGGAGGACGATATATTCATAATTTGTGTAAATTTTTATAAGATGATACCAAAGACGTTTTGGAGGTTTGATACTGAAAAAATTGTTTATTGAAGTCGCACGGTGCCATATCAGGTGAATACGGGGAGTGGTTGATTGTTAAAATGTGATTTTTGGTCAAATAATCGGCCACAAGCGTCGATCGATCGATGAGACGGCGCATTATCGTGCAACAAACGCCAACTTCCATCTTTGCGGTAAAAGCTTCAAAACTCCAAGGTAGAATACCGCATTAACGTTTTGGCTGGGTGGAACAAATTCTTTGTGGACAATACCCTTGGAATCATAAAAACAAATCAGGATTTTCTTCACTTTTGACTTCGGTTTCGGCTCATTTCTCATTTATGTTCTCACGACCACTTTGAAAACGTTTAAACCACTCGTGCACTCTGCTACGGGATAGGCAATCATCGCGATTAACTTGTTTCATCAATTGAAACCTTTCGGTAAAAGTTTTACCAATTTTAAAACAGAATTTAATGTTGGCTCTTTGTTCCAAGCTCATTTTCGTACCGATGACAAAAACATACTGACACTTAGAACGCAATAACTTCACTCCCAATAGATGAAATGTCATGAAATGAAGATTCTAACGCACTAGTCGACATATAGATGACGCCACTAGAGTTTACTTTATTACTTATTTACTGTTTACTTTGGAACGCACCTTGTATAAATTAAACTCTCATCCGATATTATTTACCTAAGTATAGCAATGAGGATATCAGTCTTGTTGTTGATGGATTCTTCCAATGGAAAAACTTTAATGCCGAAAAAATAGACTGATTTAATTTTCATTCCAAATGCCAACACTAATGCATATTTATATCAGCTGATATGTTAAAAATTTAAGAGAGAAAGGAAAGAAGTTGTATTGATAAATATTTTTTTTTGTTTTTCTTTAACAACTTATAATTTGACAACGCTTAATATAATTTACACATTTTAAAGTCTACATCATTTTAGACATGTCAGTCATAATATGCCTATTATGATCGCAACAAAATAGTTTGCGTAGTCTGCCAATGCTTTAAAAGGATCTGTTCCATTTTTCTAACTCATATATACTTGTAGTTATTTATTTAATAGATCTAGAATATTGAGATGATTCTTACACATTATTATGATAATTTAAGGCAAAACCTTATGTTACTTCATAATTTACTTGTAAGTTTAGATTTTGGTAAATAAAAAGTTGAGAGATAATCCTTTAAGAATATATTCTATTATTTTAAGGGTTATTAAAATGGGAAAATTATAATTTGAGTTAGAGGAATATTGTGGTGGAAATATTTAAATAAATATTTGTTATTTGAAGTGGAAAATTTTTCGCCCATTTGTGATAAATGAGAGAATAATCTTTCTTGAGATTTCTGATTATATTTTTCATCTCGCACTATGAGAAAGAGCAAAAGAATTTTAGCAAATCAAAGAAACATTTTATTATTTTATTAGTGCTTGAGTAAACGTAGCGATCGATAACACCTCTTCTAATGTAAATATAAGACTTTCAGTTTGAAATTAGTAAGCCTATTGTTATTTTATCTATCTTCTTGTATCTTAATCCGAACTAGATTTCTCGCAGAAAGTGGTTGCTGGGTAAACATTCACAAAATATATTACTTACGGTCATACATACTTATTGACATACATACATACAGACGGCTACAAACTGACTACGCTCGTAGCAAGTGGGCATTGTTTTCGGTCGTAGGCGTATAATAAGTGAGATTCTCGTTGCCGGAAATGCAAATGAAAAATTTCAAAAGTTCAGTGGGTTGAACAAAACACACACAGAACAACAATGACGTCAACCGCATTCATTCCCTTAATTAATTATTGTTAAGCACGATACATATTTTTCGGAACTCAGCGAATTACAGTCGGAATGACAGCTTATTACTGCTATATAGCTGCATTTAGTGAAAATTAAGTTGTCGCGTATAATCGATTTTGTCTCAGTTCCATGAAATAACTGTAATGTCAACCGCAATTTATTATTGTTTGTTATATATTTGTTTCTATTGAAAATTCATTAATTAGTTATGTTATTTGTTCTTATAATCCATAACAGATGGGTTTTCAAGCTTCCGTCAGGCATTTCCCGAGTGGTGTGAGGATGACAGCGCACAAAACAAAGAAATGGAATCTAGTCACAGCACACAGGCCGATCAATTAATGGGATTGAGGTATGTTTTGCCATTTTGATGCTGAAATTGCGCAATGTTTTCAAGTGAAAGTCAATAATATGCGTTCTGTTTTGCTCTTCCACAGATCATTGCGAATATCAACACCGCATTCAGATTCCACCTGCAGTAGTTCCGCGGAATCTTCCGATTGTGAAAGCACCACTCATCAAAATATCAATGAAGCGCCTGTGGAGATCATTCCAGGCCTGTTTCTCGGCAATGAGTCGCATAGTTGTGATTCACGTGCATTACAAAAGTACAATATTAAGGTAAGTTTTAGATGCGAGAGTGATGTGAGCAATGATAATTTCCGGCAGCGATGCCAACCATCTAAAAATGTTAATAAAATATATTTGACAAGAATTATCCCGATATAGATAGTAAACTAAAGAATTAAGAAAAACTTAAAGCTCAAACTATTTTTTGGAAAGGTTGCCAACTACTTAACATTTTAAATTAAGTAAAATAGTTATAAACCGAGGCATGAGATGGATAGCAATATAAAGAGCGGCAAGATCTTACATTTCAAAATGTTTTTGAAAATAAACGAATTATTACAAAACATATAAGCTGTCCAAAAGTTAATGAAAAATTTAAGAACTATGACAAAATGCACTTACCTGCTGTCAGGGCTCACAGTCCAATATATTTGTGAAAAAAGTTACAAACTGTGTAGAACTTTATATTAAAGGTTTATTAAGATAAGTATATGAGTAGATATAATCCAAAGAGGTTAAATAAGGCTTGAATTACATATTTGTAATTTAGTAAGTTTACATTGAAGATTTCATCTATGAATAAAATGATGAACGATTTCTTCAGCCTGTTTCGGTATTATCACATATGAATTGTATAAATTATTAAAAAAGAAAATTTCAATTCACTTAAGGATCATATATTTTAGACTGTAGTCGACTTTTTTTTTGAAAAGTTTTTGATTATTAAAAATACAATAAAAAAACAGTATCATGGGAATATCATTGTCTCAATGAATATCACGGAATTCGTAAAAGTACTATTGCAACTCTACTTTCTTTAGATGGCCTTTTCTAACGTATTGTGTATATAATCCATTTTCGATCACTTTGTTTTAATTTAAATAATAATAAAGGCACTTTCTTTTCAGTATGTTTTAAACGTCACACCGGATCTTCCAAACGTCTTCGAGTCCTCCGGCGACATTCAGTATTTACAAATTCCAATAACTGATCACTATTCCCAAGATCTGGCCATGCATTTTCCAGCTGCCATCCGGTTTATAGGTGAGTATTCGCGACGCATTACTCATAAATATATTTTGACAATTACTTTAATTTTTCTTGCAGAGGAAGCACGCTCCAATAACGCCGCTGTGCTTGTACACTGCCTAGCCGGTGTCTCCCGCTCGGTCACTGTGACGCTCGCCTATCTAATGAAGACGCGCACACTCAGCCTGAACGACGCATTCACGCTGGTGCGCGATCGCAAACCAGATGTCGCACCCAACTTCCATTTCATGGAGCAATTGCATTCATTCGAACGTAAACTACGTCCAGCTGGCAACGATAGCGGCGGTAGTGGCGACAATGAGTGCACTGCCATGGACGAGAGTGGCGGCGGTGGCGGCGTTAGTGTGCCCTCATGCACTGCACAGGCGAGTTTAGGCAACACTTTGATGGCTGGCCGCTGTGCTGGCGATATGGGTTCGAAATTCACATGCAATTGCATAGAAACGGACTGCAAGTGCATGCAGACTGGCGGCTATATGGCGCAACTGGCTAAAGCGGCGACCGGTGTGTCACCCGATTCGGGTATTGAATTCGATCGGTGGACACCGACTAGCGATACGGGCCTGAAATGAGATCAACTTGTGGGAAAAAGTTTCGTGTTGCCGCCGAGCATTGTGGAGCCGCCAGTGGCGCACAACGCCGACAATGTGTCACCAGCTTCGACTACCTCTTCCTCCACATCGACAACAACCACAGCCGAGGCGGTGTCGGTGGTCGAAGTGGTGCCGAGCGTCGACGAACGATAAAAGGCAGCGGCGAGGCGTGCAGAAAGGGACACAGAGGTGGACACACTGGGATTGGCGATTGAGGTAGTGTGTCGCAGGCACGCGAAACTTTTTTCCTACAAGTCTGGTGGTGGAGATAACAACAACTGAAACTACAAAAGTAGCACAAACGCTAAAACGGAAGATGGCTTAAACGCATATACAATACAAACAAACATATATCACAAAGCAGCGACATACAAATTTGAATGAAAACAAGCGTGTAATTTCAGTGAAGCTGTGAAAAAATACATTAATACATGTCTATGTTGTTTGCTAACCTTTTTTTTTATAAAAATTAGTCTAAATAATAAATATCATTTTGTATTAAATATGAAATTAATTTTAAAAATTTATTAGCTTCCTTTTTATATGCAAGTCGTAAACTTTTTCGATGAAAATCATTGCAAATAGCACAAATAACGGCTATTTAGGGTTTAGCTGTAGAAGTATTAATATTAGGTGTAGTAAAAATAAATCCATTATTTTTCCAATAGATGACGTTATTTATTTGTATCTCGTGTTGTATAAGTCCGATTCGGCTAGATGGCTTTAACAAGATAACATTTTGTGCTAAAAAAGCTTTTTTGACAGTTTTGTGATTAGAGGATTCAGTTTTGTTTGAGCGCGCGTCAAAGATGGACACTAGCAAAGAGAAAATAGTTTTTTTTTCTATTTATATATCGATAAGGGCGAAAACGCAAGCCAGGCGGCTGAAAATTTAAATAGCGTTTATGGTCCTTATACTGTAACAGCCAATCATGTGCAATTTCGTTCCGGTAATTTCGATGTCAAAAATGCACGACGCTCTGGAAGACCAATTAGTAATAATTAAAGCATTCAATTTCATGCGAAAATAATGGATTTCTGTTTTACTACACCAATAAAATACCAGCTTCGCACGCATTACATAACATATGTTATACAAACAAAAATCATCGTAAACATATTAAACATAAATTTTAGGTGGTTAAATGCAAAAGAAGCAAATATTCGAAGATAAAAAAAGGTAATTTATAACAAAATCATGCAATCATAAATTTACAAATGTTTATTATTTTTATTTTTTTTTAAAATAATTTTTGTATTAAAGTGAATTGTAACACAAATCCCACAACCTAGTTTAAGCCAGTAATGTATATGTATTGTTATGTTAAGTTTTGTAAGTAGACACATTAAACGCTACTACCTACAAATTACAAATTACAGCAAAACAGAATTCGTGATTTATGTCAAAGCACAAGAACCTGCATCCATACAAAACCACACAAACACACATATGTATGTAACCACTCTTACAAATCTACCCAATATCCATACAAAATAATTACAAGTTAAGTGAATTACAAATTTACATATTGTAAAGTGTATTTTATACATACTTACATACTTATATATATGTAAGCAATTCAACAAATGTATGAAGCATAAAGTCAAAGCGCTAAGGCGAATGAAATAGTGCGTAATTTAAGTTCAAGCAGTAAGCAGTGAAATGAACTAATTCATTGAATAATTAATTAATACATAACGATTCAAATAAAAGCATATATTTAATATTGTTAAATAATAAAAATTCTTTTTGAAAGAAAATGCAAAATATTTGCCAAAATAATATCACATAAATTTATTGAATTTTATTTCGTTTAATTTTTTTTTTTTCAGTTTTCACTTAGCTATTATTTTATGATAAAATATTAACAGCTTGTCAGCCACTGGGTTCCTAGTGAGAAGAAAAAGTTGCTGCTATTTAAAAGAAGACCTAATAAATCCTAAATATAGTCAATGGGATTCTTAGGAGCGTTCGCTCAGGTGGGTGGTATGATTTTCACCGAGCCGATGGATATAAAAACAAACCCCTGTTAAAAGTGAATTCGAAGCAGTGATACTAAAGAGTCTTACAAGGTCAATACAAAAGTAAATATTTGGTCAGCTATATTGTACAGATTATAATAGCGTTGTGCTGTTAGGGTAAGGGATATTCACAGTGGGTAGTATTAAGTGTCTTAAGAATCATATATGTGTCATTAATATATGACTTTCGATCTGAGCCGAAAGTTCATTAAAACTCAGAAATACATATATTCCTACATATAGGATTCTTAATAAGAGCACGGCATTTAAAAAACAATAACATAAAATTTCTTTCATCCTCAAACTGATATTTATGTATATTACCTGAAAGTGTCATTTAATACCATTAGCTATGAAAAAAATATCACTCCTCATAGAAATTTTGACAGGTATGAGGCCAGTTGATAGGGCCTTTTCATACAATCGACTGGTCTGAGCAATTTACTGATTTCACCACTGATTTCTGCTATCACAAGGGTTGGTGTAATAGTTGAAAACCATATAAATGGCGACGGTATTGCCAGTTGCCTGTGTTGAGTAGCCGATAGCTATGCATAATGCAGTATACTCGCGCTAATAGCCATACATAATATGGTTATTAATACTTTATGAAATATATTATTAATTATTTCTTATACTAAGTCAGCTGTTAATTCAATTTAAATACTTTCTTTAAGCTCAGTTTGACTCCTTATTATTAAAGACTTTCTTCTAAACCAATATATTTTTGACTTTTTTTAACCTAAAACTACCACAAAAAAGTTGGATTAATTATACAATTCTTTGCTTTATTTCACAAAATTTCTATTCAATTTACTTATAAAATATATAGAAACATATAAAAAAAAAGTAAAATACCTATATACCGTTGTACTGACATTTGCACAGACAGAATATTACAAAAATATATTAATCCATATATACATTCATTTATAATTATAGATGTATGTTTGTATAACATGTTCGTATCATAAAGTGTACAAATTAGAAATTAACTACAGAGAAAAGTACACGAACCGTTAACGAAACCACATGCGATTTAGGTGTGTGTGTTTACTTACACAAGGGTTATGCTTATTAAAATTTTGTGATTTTATGCGGCATGGTATGAGTTAAAGGTGATGCGTACAAATAATTCAGGTGAATGATATATGTAGAACGAAAATGAAGGCTGTGCATAAAAAAACCAGAAGTAAAATTAAATAAAAAATTTCCAAAAATGAATTAATATTAAATACGTAATTTATACACAATTATGAAAGAGTATGTAAAAAAAAACCTTAGTAAAAAATAACTAAAAGATATAATAAAAAAATATTATTTTTTAATTTTATTACCTTGAAGTTTGAGTAAACAAATAAAAATTAATAAATAATTTTGATAAAGAATACTTTTATATTAGTATGCTTTGTAATTACTGAACAAAACGTAAAATAATTTGTGCGTTAAAAACAAAAACAAAATAATTAAAAAACGTAAAAATTTAATCGGTGAAAATTATGCTTATCTAACGGTTGTATGTACATGCGGCTAAGCAAGCGCCGTGTAAACAGATCATAAGTTGATTCAAAGAACCCCTTTTGGCATAATAGAAAATCACGTTATATAAAAAGTTCGAAAAAAATATTATTAAAAAAGAATATCTATTAGTCTAAGAGTACGAGTATAATGTTCATATTGCTAAAAAAGTAATGGGAAAAAATAAGAAATATATATATATAATATAAGTAAGTAATGACGTACCTAATAATGCAGTAATGCAGTTTTGAAATTGTCCATCGCCAAATTTGTTTATAAACCAATGATAAATAACTTAATAAAGAGAAGCTGTTTCTCATATTCAAAACGATGAATATATACACTCATAACTACTTACATATGAGCACAAATATATACAAATCACGGATTTTTGATATGTCCAGTACAAATTTATACCCCTATTACGGTTTTCAACTCCACTCGGTGGAATGGAAGTTGAAGCAATTCTACTTCGGATAAGCCCCCACTCAAAATCAAGTATTGTCAAACTTTAACTTTTCTTGGTATTACGGTTTTCGACTCTGTTCCAGTGGGGTTGACTAAAGTATAAAAAAATTAACAAAAAAAAAAATTGCAAACAAGCAGTTGTAGTGAAACATTAATTTATTTATTTAGTAAAATTATTATATTACGGTATTCAACTATGTGCCAGTGGGGTTGACTAGAGTATGGCTCTTGTCACACGTTCAATATTTATTGTGATACTTGGATTGATGAGTGATGGAGCCCGAGTGAATGCTACACGTCCTCATTTATTTGAAATAAATCGAGTTTTTGAAAGAAATATGTTCAAAAAGAGTTTAACTTTATTATTTTTTTGTCCGTTTATATTTTTTATAAAATATTGAAAGAAAACTGAAGAAAAGTTTCAAAGAAAGCATCGGAACAAAAATGCTAGCAATCATTTTGAAGAATTCACCGGATCTTTGAAATTGATAAATTTTTTATATAAATATAAATAAAAAATACATTTATTTACATATACTATACAATACTTTGTTCCGTCGTATCGCGAATTTACAAAAAAACGTCGTCGATCGCGTGATCAATATTGAACGTTTAACGCGCGATCCACGATCCGTGATTTGGATTTCAAAATATTTAAATAATTTGTGATATGGACCGCAATCAGTCAATATTGCAAGCTACACGTTCAATAAATATCGCTATTCGGGATCGCTGTCAATATACATTGAACGTGTAGCAGTCCCCTATATAAAAATGTCAATATTCATATTAATAGAATATGGCTAAAAATATATTTTAATTATAATTTTAAACTATTTTAATAAGTTATTACATAGAAAGGTGAACATTTTGTTGAGTTTTGGACCGTGGGAAGTGTTTTAAACATTAAGAGTCGATACAATATACTACTCTAGGAATATTCTTTTTGAGTAAAATTAAATTTGTTAAGCGTTTTGCTCGTCTTCAGTCATTTGTGTTTTATCTACTGCGCACAAATATGGTGTTCATATATTTATTTAATATTTAAAAGGGTTTGTAACAACCATAGATATTGTAGGTGGTTTCAGCCCAAAGTTATAATGGTTTAAATCGCATTCTTGATAACTACGGGCAGCAAGGAACCATTGAGTTTGTGGTTATGTGACTTCCTCTAATTTAGTAAAAAAACAAAATTAATCCTCATTTAGACGAAATCAACGTATGAATTTAATATAAATAACAATAAATATTATTCAAAAGCCATTTACTTTGTCAATAAAATGTTGGCTTCCATGGTGTTAGGGAGTTCGAATTGAATTGTGTTGATTTTTCGTTAAATTTTTTTAGCTGTTTAATTATCTGTCAAATCTTTTTTTTGGTTGGCAATATCAATAAAACTCCAACTGAAAATAGTTGAAGTTCGTAGTACAAACAAAAATTGGGTTGATCTGAAGATGAAAAGCTTCAAGTTGAAAACCATACTAGGGGTGTTATTTAAATAAGCGAAGTTTTAAAGGTTCTGTCTGTAATGAATTTTCATATAAAAGACGTTTATCTGAAACAATCTTATTAACGAGGCGCCTATGACTTATTAATATTTATTACATCAAAAGCCAAAATACAAAAAAATAAAATGATAACGAAGACGGCATACCGAGTTCATTTCATATGTATTTGTGTACTTGTATAAGCATTAATAAAAATTCATTTAAAAAGTTCAAATTTAGTTGCTGTATAAATGTCAAAAATTCTTCTTAAAAAGTCCACTGAACTGAAAATATATGACGATAAATGTAGTGTGATTATAGGTGGCAACAACTCATTAAGCATTGGAGAGTAGCGAATTGAAAATCACAACCATATAGAGACACAATAATGATTAAAGCATTTTGATAATATACATATAAACTCTCACAAATTGCTGTACTATATTGTTGTTATGGCCCTCAAATGAAGAATGTTTGGCAAAAATTAAGCAAGGGCAAGATCGAAGACGACTTATTCAAATCTGTTTATACAAGTACGGACGGACGGACAGACAGTCACCCGGATTTCAACTCGTCTCTTCATCCTGATCATTTATATATACATAACCCTATATCTAACTCGATTAGTTTTAGGTGATACAAACAACCGTTAGGTGAACAAAACTATTATACTCTGTAGCAACAGGTAGCGAGAGTATAAAATTTGATAAGAAATCACTATTAAAGGACCGTGGGAGGTGTTTCGAACATTATGAGTCGATAGAATACACTACTCCAAGGAATTTAAATTTTGGAGCGTTTTGCTGCTCTTCAGTCATTGATCGAATGGATTTGAGTGGACACGAAGGCTTTTTCTTATGCGCAGCACACCAATTTTGTCATCTAATATATATCAAACCAAATGTCTATTTCAATAATTATTCCTCTTTCTGTGAACAATTACTAAATTAAATTACTTTGATTTTTTGTGTGAAAACTTTCTGCTGTTTAATTATTTGTCAAACACTCATTTTTTAGGTGGGCAACACAAACAAACTTCGACTTAGTGACAATCGTTATACCAAAAAGGAATTGGGTTGATCTGAAGTTGAATTGCATCAATTCAATTCAATTTAATTCAACCAAATAGAGTGGTATGTTATATACTTACGTCTATAAACTGAACTATATCACGAAATTGCACTCTGATATTATTAGGTTTAATAAAAAAAGTCCATTATTTTTCCAATAGATGGCTTTATATATCTGTATATCGCGTTGTATAAGGTCGGGTTCGGCTAGATGTCGTTAGCAAGATGACATTTCGTACTAAAAAAACTTTTCTCACAGTTTTGTGATTGGTTGATTCAGTTTTGTTTGAGCGCGCGTCACAGATGGACAGTAACAAAGAGAAAGTAGCTATATTTTACAGTATTTCTTCGATAAGGGCGAAAACGCAAGCCAATTATCGAAAAAATCAATCATCAATAATGGAAATCTCCGAGTCCAAACATCAATTACGATTGTCCAGAACCTAAACATTGATCAAAAAATGGATTTCTTTTTACTACACCTAATATGTTATGTCACCAATAGTTAGTTTTTTCTGTCCGGATAGAAGAAAGTAGAACTTCAGTAGATGTTACGTTCTCGTTGTGTAAATATTCAGAATATCTCAGGAGGTATCTAAAAATTGTTCGCTGATAGGCGATTTCAGATATCTGAATGTACTGTTTGTTGATAGTTTCAGCAGATCAGTTGTTGTAAGTATAACTTGTTGATGACAAGTGAACTCAGAACTCTGTACCATCTCCCAAGCTTGTTGGTCGCTTAAACATGGGATGGATGATAGCTGATATGACTTCGTAATCCAAAAAAATATGAAAGATAACAGTCGGTTTCTGAGGCGACAGTTATGCGAGGTATACGTTGAAGACCGATTCATGCATGCATGCATGATTCCCCCAGTTTCCACATGTACTTTCATTGCTGTTGGGAAAGTCTGTCTCCTCATAGGAGAGCTATTAATTTTTTTGTACTTTGTGTATGACGGTGACAAGTTCAAGATAGCGGAGAATCATTGAACTTGTCTCGCGGCTATGAATGCTATAATGTTCTGTGACGGTATTGGTTAGTATGTGGTGTTGCAATGAGTATTGACTAAGAAACCTACGGCGGGGAAGAGAAGTTAGCGGTCGTGAGATATGTTTACCTACATACATATGTATGAATGGGTGCATTCGATCTATGTAATAATTGCAGCAGTACAGCAATTGTGTTGCATATTTTTGAGTGTTGCCGATTATTTGCATAAATTGCGTGCATAAAGTGACAGTAGAACGTGATACTATTACAAATTAGCAACACTGCTGTAGTGATTGCCATCTCGAACGCACCCTATATCAAATAAGAACCCCAACGATTAAAAACTAAACAATTATCAACTACAATATTTTTAAAGTTGTTTAGTAAAAAGTCCCCGACACGTCGAGAAAACGTTCAAAGTGAAGATGCCATAATTACCAAACCAAATCAAAAAGCTGAACAACAGTTTTGAAAGTTGGTAACCGTATCAACGGTACACTTTTTGGGATCGTACACAATAAAGTGGATGCATAAGAACGCCCCAACCAAGCTCCCGGATCTTTGTTTTTTTTTTGTTGGAATATTTCCAACAATTACCGCACACGTAGAATATCGGTTATTCAAAACGGAGAAATTCCATGACTTTAGTAGACAAATCACTGCTTGAGGGTGAAGACGAACCGCAATGATAAATTTAATAACATCACAAACTCACTAATAGTTTACAACAAAAAGAAACCAGTGCCATAATACAATAATATACAAAGATTTAAGAAACAAAGAAAACATAAAATTAAAACTAAATCACATCTACAAATGCGCATTTACTTTGACTAAAAATGATACTGAATTCATATTTCTAGCCTGGAGGCATTTTCAGCAGCAGTAATTCACGGTTATTGTATACGATTTCCTTATAAATGCCGTGCCAGGTGAGTGGAAACACTTTCACCACGCGTCAGCAACCCATTGACTTAATATTATCTGGTGTTCTTAATCAAATTGAGTTAGGCGACACATTTATAAGCCCTTATTGAAATGCTGCGGTATGCGACATTTAGTCTTGTAGTAATTTGATTGTGGACGTTTTCAACGAACTGTAATGAATATAATACAATAAATAATTAATATTTTCAATTTAAATGTGTAAATACGAAGTTCACATTACCAGTTTTGTGGGAAAATAGCCCAAGCTGTGGGCACCATGAACAGCAAACTGAAAAAAATGGTCATATTAGAAGCAATCGAGAAAGAGAAAGTGCCATTAATGCTCACAAGCAGTCCATCCAACGTATGCGCCGATAAGCCGGTATTTTCTCCAAACGTTGCATATTAAACGGCAATATCAGCATGCCGGGTGCTCCCATAGTAATATTTATGGCAGCTAAGCGGCTGTGCCCCACAATGTTACCATTCCCACCCTTCACTTTGACAGCATAAAACGCTGTGACGTAGAAGGCAAGTTTAGACAGTTTCGTAAAGTGAACAAAGAAACAAAAAATGGTTTACTACCTGAAATATTGACAGTACTAATGCCGAGGTAGCCGCCGACACATACGCAACGCCCAACTGTGTGACTGTAGTCGGTGAATTCGCATTACAATTTGTATAGTTGACTATAGCGTTGAATGACTGATTGATGAAACGGCAGGTACGGTGCGATAAAAGGGTAACATGTCGCCGGTTATAAGCATGCCACCAGGCACCTAAAAATCAGAAAAAAATTAATTGTATTATTAACGATATTAAAACACAAACATATATAATAAAACCATTTATGTGGGTACATAAAAAAAAATTTAATATTAATTGATAACCCAATAATACCCCTTAGAAGTATTATTAAAAATATATGTACGTGTGTATAATATTAGCATATTTGTGTATGCAGGCAAGACTTTCCTGCTCTTATCGGTAGGTGGCCGCCTGAAAATTAAAGCAAAATATATATATGTTCATACTCTTTACCAATGACTAAACGGCGAAACAATTTTTTTGGCAACGAAACGAAACTACGTTACATGTGTAGTTGCCCAGCTGCACACGCTGTGAGTGCGCGTATAGGGCACGAGCGCCTTTAGCAGACGGCAGCATGTCAGCCGACTATTTACAAGCAATAAGATAACGTACACAAACACAAGCACTTCAAATTTAAATATCCGAGCACAACGCGAAAAATATCTTTTTCTCTTAAAAATAATTTGAAGATACTAATTTAAATCAGATGTAAGCTATAACATCACAGTTTTCAATAATAATATATATCAAAAAAAGCTTTTTCATCATTAGGTATTTAAAAATTTCTGCGCTTATGTTTTTATCAAATTTGCCTTTGTCTCATTTTTCCAGTGCGCAGTGCCGTTTATATATCCTTAATTCTGAATTCTTGGATAAAATGAATATAATATTAAATCGCAACAACTATTAATTGTATGTAAAAAAATTATGAATTGGAGAAAATAAAAACAAAAATGCTTCTTACGCGATATAAAGTAACACGAAGTTGCAAAAACTAACGTACGCCAGCAAAACATATATACTACTTGCTAAACGACAGTATTTGTTGGTAATTGTATATCAAGCAGGACGAGCTGATGAAGCCGTAGAACCGGAATTACATCACCCACATTTAAGTGGTATATCACAGCAGTTTCTTTTAATCGAACAAACAAGTGAGCAATTTCGCTCATTTGGATATATCAATAATTTTGGTAAATGTGTAGTTTAAGCCCCCCAACGAAGGAGGCCCAGAAAATTAAATTTTTTTAAATCCTCTCATTTTGACGCCAAGATTACTAATCCGTGAGCGGAAAGTTGATTTTGTCAATAATTCTACTATTTTTTATTAATTAAAAAAAAAAAAAATATTTTAACATACAATTAAAACAATTACACACTTCGCACATGCTCTTTCGCGTGTTAACTTCTTTCTAAACTGGCACTGCAAAAAAATAATTATAGGGCGGTGCCACGCCGACTTTTTCAAGAATTTCAAATCACAGGTGCCCCCCTTAATTTGATTCATTGTACCAAATTTGAGTCCTATATCTTAATTTACGTATTAGTTAAAGCACTTTATACGTTTTCGATTAATGGCATTTAGTGGGCAGTGGTTTGATTACGCCCATCTACGAACTCGTCGTTACTTTTTTGCCAAGAAATATGTGCACCAAGTTTCATCAAGATATCATCAATTTTTACTAAAGTTACAGTTTGCACAGACAGACGGACGAACAAATAGACATCCGGATTTCAACTTGTCTCGCCTTCCTCATCATTTATATATACATAAATATATAACTCTATATCAAACTCGATTAGTTTTGGGTGATACAAACAACCGTTAGGTGTACAAAACTATTATAATCTGTAGCAACATGTTGCAAGAGTATAAAAAAACGGTTTACTCTTTTTACTTTATGCCGAATAAATAGCTTAATATGTAAGATTTCTGAACAAAATTTATAGAACGTGTTTTCTTGAATACCGGACTTATTCCGGGGTTGGAAATATATCGGTTAATAATGAAATCGAGTTATATGTTTTCCTACGCCCATAAGAAGAAGATACTACTTTCTATTCTAGTGGTTGATAGCATGATAGTTCGGAATTTTTGGCTGACTTTATGTGGCGTATATCGAGCATTTTATTAAAATAAAGTCCACGTATTAAAACATTTCTTAGTGTACCGCGCTTTAAATAGAGTAGACATTTTTTTCTTAGCACATCTTTTATGCTTGAGAAATGTTAACGCAAAATTAAGGGTGTCCCAAAATTAAAGCATTTTAAAATTTTCAGCCATATATGTAGTAAACAGTGTTGACAACCCTAAACAAATCGACAGGTGACAGGCTCTGTCAAAATGGAGCGTTAGACGATAGAACAACGCAAGGATGACATGATACGAAACTCTTCGAATCGAGAGAGCGCTGTCAAAGTGCACATTTTTTATAACATGTGACAGTGGTGCCACTAAGGAAAGAAATACATTTTGAGCTTTTTTAATGTATTGCTTGGATATTTTTCGGTTTTCACATAACAGAAAAATATATATAATTAATATTGGTTTAAAAAACTAGAAATCCTATATGTGGTCTTAATATATGTACAAATTTATTTTAATCACAAATGATTTTCAAAATTAACTTTATAAAATATTTTAATATTTCAAAACACTTACAAGTTTATATAACCTAAACATGAACATTACTTATTTTTTATATACTCAATAAACAAATATCTTTTCATAATTTATTCGAAAGTCAAAGTTTGTATAACTTGGGAGTTCTAATCAAAATATGTACATATATACGTTGACAATTGGTACTGCTAAGCAAAACAATACTCTGCGACAAAATACCCGCTTTTTCTTAAAATCAAAACTATATTAAATCTCTTTAAATAAAGATTAGAAACACACATAAAAGTCACCAAAAAATCTGATCTCACAAATAACCCATTGAATTCGCAATTTTTTTCTGCGGGATTCTTAGTATCGCTGTTTTACATGTGATCTGTCCCTTTATTGTGATTTTGTTATATAGGTATTAATCCAATCGATTTTTGAACTTTCAATAATTAATCAAAAAAATTAATGTATTAGCTCTCAATTACTAAATGTTTTTTTTATAATTTTCAATCGAAAATTAATACTACTAAGCATAGCATCACAAAAGATTTCATCACATACATTCCAATTTCGCCTTTTCTTCCATTTTTATGTTTTCCAATTTTTGTTAGTGATCTTCAACAGCAGCAACAAATCTCAATCTGGCCGTCCCTATTTTTCCAATTGCTAAACGTCAGACCTGGTGAATTTTGACAGTTACCTGAGTTCAGGAGGTTTGACGTTTAGTAATTGCGCTCTCATTTCCACTGAGAGATCAGTTGGGCATCTATTTATCTCTGGTTACTGGTGCCTGATATCGGGACATGATTCAGTTCTTGTTGCCAAAATTGGATGATATTGATGTGGCCAATATGTGGTTTCAACAAGACGGTGCCACATGTCATATAGCCTGTGATACACTTCAATTAATGCATGAGCATTTCCAGGTGGTGTACTCTCTAGTTTTGGTGGTCATAATAGGCCCCCATCACCATCACCATTACATTTCTTTTTGCATCAATGAAACTCAGCCACATTTATGCAGAATAGTAATGGAAAATTTCAACAACCGAGTGCGTATGTGTATGGAAAATCGTGAAGGCCATTTGATCGATATGTGGTCCATAAATAGCCCTATCCCATGTACTTTATGATTCAATCAAAAAATTACAATCGAAAAACTAAATACTGTGTTTTCTATTCAATTCCAATCTTGCGTTAATTTTAGGACACCCTTTATTAGTCGTGTAGTATCAAAAGTAATGAAGATCCTGCACTTATTGTAAAATCTGATAATATATAAACTTCGTTCATCCACTTAAATTCTAGTGTCAGTTATCTCTGTTTTGCTACACATTTTATTAAGAACGTTAGGAGGAGCACTGTAACCTCAACAAAATGAATTTTAAGTACCTACTTATAAATAGGTTTATGTAAACTGCTATATAAATAGAGTTTTTTGTGGATTTACGAAAAAGCCGCTGTTGTCCAGTACTAGTAATAGCGCATTAAAGGTTTAGGTATTCAGTCAGATGTACATAGTAAGAAACTAGTAATTAGTTTAATCATCTTGAAAGTATTTACACGGAAAACCTCTCCGTAAATTGCTTTTGCTTTATATTCTCTAAAACAATGGAGATTTACCTACCGCAAAGGTCTAAAAATAATGTTATGTGTGTATGTATGTACGGCAAACTTTCTAACTAAATCTATTTTCATAAACCCAAGTAAGTCCCCATTGTTTTAAAAAGGAATAAACAGAGTACTCGAGTTTGCCGAGCAAATAACTTCAATACTAATAAATAAATCAAGTATTAATTTCTAAGAAATACATATATATTATATTAAATATTACATATATTATGCTAATGTAACTATTATATGTCTACATGATACATTCAAAATTAAGTATGAATGTTCTGTGTATAAATATATATAAGGTTGGCCGTTATTTCCCTTCCGCTTTTTTGCTCTTCATTCAATGCTTTATAAAAAGTGTTACAGTGATCGGATTTAGTTAAAATATGCGCCGTTTTATTCGATGATCTGTTTCCATCTAGACGGCAACTTCATAATACCTTCCTCGTAGAAGCCCCCCTCCTTATTTGCGAAGAATTCGGACAGCCAGTTTTCACAAGCCTCTTTTGAGTTCAACTTCACACCACCAAGGGCATTCGCCATGGACAGGAACAGGTGGTAATCACTTGGCGCTACGTCCGGGCTATATGGTGGATGCGATAAAACCTCCCATCTGAGCTCCCGTAGCTTCTGACGAGTCATCAACGAAGTGTGTGGTCTGGCGTTGTCCTGGTGGAACACTACACCCTTCCTGTTGGCCAATTCTGGACGCTTCTGGTCGATCGCCTGCTTCAAGCGGTCCAGTTGTTCGGGAGCAGCTCATAGTGGATGATTCCCTTCCAATCCCACCAAACACACAGCAAAACCTTCCTGGCCGTCAATCCCGGCTTGGCCACTGTTTGGGACGATTCACCGGCCTTCGACTACGACCGTTTTCGCTTGATATTGTCGTATGTGATCCATTTTTCGTCGCCAGTCACCATCCTCTTCAAGAATGGGACGAGTTCGTTCCGTTTCAGCAGCATATCGCAGGCGTTGATTCGGTCCAGAAGGTTTTTTTGCGTCAAATTATGCGGCACCCAAACATCAAACTTTTTTTTGTATCCAGCCTTCTGCAGATGGTTCAAAATGGTTTGGTGACTAACTCCCATCTCCTGGGCGATGTCACGAGATGTCATATGCCGGTCTAACTCGATGTATTCCATGATTTGATCGATATTTGTCGTCACAGGTCTTCCGCCGGCTGGCTTATCCATGGTGTCGTTTTCACCGGCTCTGAATCGTCGAAACCATTCCTCCGCGGTTCGAAGTGATAGAGTACCATCCCCCAAAACACCATTAATCTCACGGAACGTTTCTCTAGCGGATTTGCCTTTAACGAAGGAAAACTTTAAAATAGCGCGAATTTCGGCGTTAGTAAACTCCATGTTTACACGTCTATAACTGTTGAACGCAATATCCAAACTAATCATGCATAGCGTTGTTTTGTA